CCTCCCTGGTCTTATTTGTACATTTTCTTAGCAGATTTGAGCTAAACTAATAATTCACTTCTAAATTCTTAAAATCACAAGTTTCCCTATAAGACAGAGTGAGGTTTTCATTGCTGTGAATGCCATTAGAATGCATACTTAAGGAATATTAATGAGTTTAGGAAATCTAAGGTAGTAGGTCGAGAATTTAAGGAATGTTATTAATAATTAGATTTGAAGCTATCCAAACTGTAGTGGCATTACTGCCCTACTCAAGACACCTGAGGCTACAGCTTCAGCATTGAGTTGTTGTTAGTTGCTGTCCATCCTGTCATTCATGCTTTTTTCTCCCATAATACTATGATGAACTTTTCCATAAATTTTGTCCATATGGACAGGCAATTCAAGTAACTGATGATCAACAGAGGAAGCTGCCATCAAGATGCATAAACCAAGCCAAAGACCTTTTCCTTGATGTTTTTAAACTAGTTGATAGCATAACCTAAAGTTCAGAAATTCCAAGCCCTTGTTGCATGTAAGAAAAGAGGCATCAGTTGCTGTTTTACCAACATATTTTAACTGAGAGCTTTGGTGAATAGCTACTGGGATTTCATAATGAATAATTTGGTTTGAAGATGATATAATCCAGCTGTCATTCAGCTACTATTTAGTGAGTACCTTTTAACAGCAAAGAAACAACAATAAATAAGTTACAGTCTCTGCCTCAAAGAAGCTCTGTAGTCTAGTTGAAAAAACACAAATGTTTACAGATAGTTATGACTTAACTTTTGGCAGAATGGCATCCATCTATTCCAAAGGGCCCTTTTGTTATAAAATAAACGCATTCTTAACAAAAGCTGAACAGTGAGCAGTGGGCATATTTGAGTGGCAGAGCTGACACTAACAAGAATGCACGTATCAATAGTACCATGTGATCTGGACAGTTTGACTAAGATTCTGGAGAGTGTCGAATGTGATCTTGGATAATTAGTTCCCGCTGGCTTCCAGGATAGATTTTTCTCTGAAGGAACACATTTCCTACTTAGGCCACAAGGAATCTCATAGATTAAGATCAAACATGTGCTCACAGTTAAAGATCTCTAAACACATAGGGAAACAAACCATCATGAGTAAGAATCTACTGATTTAGATCCTCCCACAATGAGCTTGAGATTGGACTTATCAGACAGAATATATAAAACAACTATGTGTGAGATGTTAAAGAAAATTAAATGGAATAATAAAATGAATAATGGATAAGATATTTTGACAGATCGGAAAAAAATCCTATAGGAATTCTTAAAAAGAAAAAGAATAAGCAAGAACATAGTTCTGAAGAAATTAGAATGCAATATGGAGGTAGAAAAATGAAGATTAGAGCCCCAAGAGGAAAGAACTTTTGAATTCTTTAGAAGAGACACTGGCTGAAAACACTCTAAAAGTGATGAAAGATAGGAATCTAAGATATAGGAAGTAACAACATATACCAAACGGCATAAATAAAAAAGAAATTCACACCTAGTCATTGTAATGAAATTACAAAACAAGTAGTTTTAAAAACAGCCAAAGTTTATACCTACTGGGGTAACTGCAATTCAAAACAAAAACCCAGAATGTGACAGGCATTAGAGAGGATG